GTGATATTTTAATATTATCACTTGTACCTAGGTACAGTAAAAAGTGGATAATAAGAACATAAGAACTAGGAGAGGAGTAGGCCATCTGGCCCCTCGAGCCTGCCCCGCCATTTAGTAAGATCATGGCTGATCTTTGAGACTCAGCTCCACTTACCCGCCCACTCACCATAACCCTTAATTCCTTTACTTTTCAAAAATTTATCTAGCCTTGCCTTAAAAACATTCAGTGAGGTAGCTTCAACCGCTTCACTGGGCAGGGAATTCCACAGATTCACAACCCTTTGGGTGAAGAAGTTCCTCCTGACCTCAGTCCTACATCTGCTTCCCTTTATTTTGAGGCAATGCCCTCTAGTCCTAGTTTCACCTGCTAGCGGAAACAACCTCCCTGCCTCCACTTTATCTATTCCCTTCATAATCTTATATGCTTCTATAAGATCTCCCCTCATTCTTCTGAATTCCAATGAGTATAATCCCAGTCTACTCCGTCTGTCCTCATAATCCAACCCTCTCAACTCTGGAATCAACCGAGTGAATCTCCTCTGCACCTCCTCCAGTGCTAGTATATCTCTTCTCAAGTAAGGAGACCAAAACTGCGCACAGTACTCCAGGTGTGGCCTCACCAGGACCCTATACAGCTGCAGCATAGCCTCCCTGTTTTTAAACTCCATCCCTCGAGCAATGGCAGACAAAATTCCATTTGCCTTTTTAATTACCTGCTGCACCTGCAATCCCACCTTCAGTGATTCATGCACAAGGACACCCAAGACCCTTTGCACAGCAGCATGCTGCAATTTTTTACCATTTAAAACATAGTCCATTTTGCTGTTATTCCTACCAAAATGGATGACCTCACACTTATCAACATTGTACTCCATCTGCCAGACCTTTGCCCACTTACTTAGACTATCCATATCCCTCTGCAGACTTTCAGTGTCTTCTGCACACTTTGCTCTGCCACTCACCTTAGAGTCATCTGCAAATTTTGACACACCACGCTTAGTCCCCAACTCCAAATCATCTATGTAAATTGTAAACAATTGAGGTCCCAACACTGATCCCTGAGGCACACCACCAGCCACTGACTGCCAACCAGAAAAACACCCATTTACCCCTACTCTTTGCTTTCTACTGGTCAGCCAATCCTCTATCCATGCCAATACATTACCTGTAATACCGTGCAACTTTATCTTATGTAGCAGCCTTTGGTGTGGCACCTTGTCAAATGCCTTCTGGAAATCCAGATACATCACATCCACAGGTTCCCCATTGTCCACCATGCAAGTAATGTCCTCAAAGAATTCCACCAAATTAGTTAAACATGACCTACCCTTCATGAACCCATGCTGGGTTTTCCCAATGGGACAATTTATATCCAGATGTCTCGCTATTTCTTCCTTAATGACAGATTCAAGCATTTTCCCCACTACCGAAGTTAAGCTAACTGGTCTATAGTTACCTGCTTTTTGTCTACTTCCTTTTTTAAACAGTGGCATCACATTGGCTGTTTTCCAATCTGCGGGAACCACCCCAGAGTCCAGTGAATTTTGGTAAATAATTACTAGTGCATTTGCTATTTTCCCCCATCATCTCTTTTAGTACCCTGGGATGCATTTCATCGGGGCCAGGAGACTTGTCTACCTTTAGCCCCCATTAGCTTGCCCAGCACTGCCTCCTTAGTGATAATGATAGTTTCTAGGTCCTCACCTGCTATAACCTTCTTGCTATTAGTTTTCGGCATGTTATTTGTGTCTTCCACTGTGAAGACCGACACGAAATAACTGTTTAATGTCTCGGCTATTTCCTCATTCCCAGTTATTAAATTGGCCTTCTCATCCTCTAAAGGACCAATGTTTACCTTCGCCACTCTTTTACGATTTACATATTTATAGAAACTTTTGCTGCCTGTTTTTATATTCTGAGCTAGTTTACTCTCATAATCTATCTTACTTTTCTTTATAACTTTTTTTGTGGCTTTCTGTTGGCCTTTAAAGATTTCCCAGTCTACTAGTTTCCCACTACTCTTTGCTTTTTTATATGTGTTTTTTTTCAATCTGATACTTTCCTTTATTTCCTTACACATCCACGGCTGGCTCTCTCTTTTCCTACAGTTCTTCCTTATCACTGGAATATACTTCTGCTGAGCCCTGTGAAAAATTGTTTTGAAAGTCCTCCACTGTTCCTCAATTGATCCACCATAAAGTTTTTGCTCCCATTCCACCTTAGCTAACTCCTTCCTCATTCCTTCATAGTCTCCTTTGTTTAAGCACAGGACATAGGTACTGGATTTAACCTTCTCACGCTCCATCTGTATTTTAAATTTGACCATACTGTGATCGCTCCTTCCGAGAAGATGCCTAACTGTGAGATCGTTAATTATTCCTGTCTCATTACACAGGACTAGATCTAGGATAGCTTGCTCCCTCGTAGGTTCCATTACATATTGTTCAAGGAAATTATCGCGGATGAGTTCTATGAACCCCTCCTCAAGACTGCCATGACTGACTTGGTTTGGCCAATCGATATGTAGATTAAAATCCCCCATGATAATTGCTGTACCATTTTTATATGCATTAGCTATTTCTATGTTTATTGCCTGCCCCACCACAATGTCGTTATTTGGTGGCCTATAGACCACACCTATCAGTGACTTCTTCTCCCTGCTATTCCTAATTTCCACCCAAATGGCTTCAACATTTTGTTCAGTAGAACCTATATCATCTCTCACTAGTGCCCTGATATCATCCTTAAAAATCAGAGCAACACCACCTCCCTTACCTTCCTGTCTGTCCTTCCGTACAGTTTGATACCCCTGGATATTAAACTCACAGTCATGACCATCCTGTAACCATGTCTCTGTAATGGCCACTAAATCATACCCATTTGCCATGATTTGCACCATTAACTCATCCACCTTGTTTCGAATGCTCCGAGCATTCAGATAAAGTGCCCTTATGCCAGTTTTTACACCTTCTTTTTGGGTCCTATTACCTCCATTACTAACAGCTCTTGAGTTCTCCTTCCCTTTAACTTTTTTCCTAATTTTCAATGGAGTTGAAGCTTCCTTGTCACCTGCTAACCTGCTGCTTTGCCTTACATTAATTGTTATTGTCCCTCGATGCTCACTTCTCCCTTCCCCCCTACTTACTAGTTTAAAGTCCTATTTACCACCCTATTTACCCTTTTCGCCAGAACACTGGACCTGGCCCTGTTCAGGTGGAGTCCATCCCAGTGGTGTAGATCCCTCCTGTCAAATGCCTTCTGGAAGTCCAGATACATCACATCCACAGGTTCCCCGTTGTCCACCATGCAAGTTAACTCCCAAATTTATTGGGTGGAAGCTTACCTTCCCAGGCTGCCCTCAGGCTTTCTCCCAGACTCCCGCCGCTGAAACAACTGAAAGGCCGCAGTCACGCGAGGTAAGACTTTTATAATCGAAAAGCTTACCTTCCCAGGCTGCCCTCGCGCTTCCTCCCGGACTCCCGCCGCTGAAACTACTAATGTCGTGGTAGTCCTGCAGGTGTTGGCCTACTTTCTGAGTCAATGTTTTGTTAAGTATTCTGTTATAATGTGTAGCATAAGTACTACAATACTGTTAGGCCTTCATCAGATTTGTCTTCATTCATTGAAAGTCTACTCAGTAGTAATTGCATTATTGATTTTTGCTTTGCCGGGACAAATGGAAAATTTGATTTTTTTTTAAGTCAAAGACTGGCACAGACCATCAATGGTGCAAGCTGTATCACCTAGTAATTGGTAATAACATGTATAACCATTATTTAACAATAACTTCTTGTAAACACAAAAGTGCTTTATGTTGTTAGATTTTCTTTAGCTGGCAATGAAAGGGAAGAGCTGCATACTTTAAGTACTATCTTGTGGGATAAAAAGTAGAAGGCGAAATCCCAACCCAAGTTATTAATGTGTGCAAGATTTGATTGATTTTTGATAATGAAAAGTAAGTCGCAAAGGAACTCGATCAATGAATCCCTCATAAATAAAGCAACAGAGACTCATCAAACAGTGGTGGACAAAGGAGCACAACTAATTGAAAACAATATCATAAAGAGGAAACTTTTTATAAATTAAATAATAAATGTATTATCTGTGTCGACTATGCGGTCTAGTTTCTGTGGTGTCTGCCAGTTGTAGAAGGTGATGAGTACCATTGGACAACACACAAAAGCAAAAAAGGCTTGCATTTATCTAGCACCCTTCACAACCACTGACACGTTTCATAGTCAATTAAGTACCTAGAGGATCACTCGATAGCTTCATAATAAAAGAAGCTAAACACCTAATCACAAAAACAATTGTACACAACTATGTTATGCAACTTAAAGGAAGAGTCCTGTCTGGTTTGGGTCTAAGTTATCGCTTATCTAATAATTGTACTTTTTGAAATTCTTTCCATTTTTAATTTGTTATGTGAGCCTTTTAAATTGAAAAGTATTTTGCGAAAGCTAATATAGCATAAATATATTGGACCACCACAACACAACCAACCTACCAACATTAAGAAATGTTACTAGAAATCTCTGGTGCATAATTTATGTTCCAGAATGGGGTGAGTATGGAAGTAGACAGGAGCACAACTTCATTCCACAGGCCGATCTACTGGGTTGCCAGCAACAGTACAAGGTCAAGAGCACCAGATGGACGTATATCGTGGTTCTGACACAAAATGGAGAACTGTGCCTCTCTTCTTTGATTGTTTAAGTTTTCAGTTAAATCCCTTTAACCTTTTTCAATCTAATTATCTAAAGTGGCAGCAGTGTAATCATGTTGTCGATTATGTTGAGTGCCTTGGGACACTGTTTAAATAAAAAAGCGGTACTATATAAAAGCAAACTGGTGGTCCTGTGACGTTCATAGTGTCTGCTGCAATGCAGAATTTCCCAATTGTCTGACTGTTCCAGTAGCTGAATGTGCTCAAAAATGTCTCTGAACTGCAAAATGCTTCTTTTAATGAGATTTTCTTTTATTCTTTTTCTCCTTAACAGAAAGCGATGACAGAGAAAATTTGCCATTGATTCCAGGTTGAGAGAGGCCTTGCAGCAAGTCTCTGAAGTGACTTGAAACTTTAAAAATTGAGCCATATACTGGAGAGGATTATCAGAAAATCAAATGCTACAATCTGAATCCTTGCAAAGGCTTACCAAGGGAAATTGTTCAAAAGCATAAGTTAAGAATTCCTAAAATTCATGGGAACAGATTGATGGTGATGGAATGTATACTGCAATTGGTGGCCGTCACTCATATCCTCCCTGTATGTTCTCAAATCTGATTCAGTTTAGTCAACTGAACACAGTTCAGTTCTTCTACACAAATTTATTTAGATTCCCAAACAAAATACACCTGTTTGAACATTGTCACAGACCAACAGAAACTTTGTCATTCACGTCATGACTGTCTGTCTCTAAATTACTTTGTTTATAAAGTGTTCTTTGATTATTTGGTGATTCCTGTAACAACATATTTGAAACCTAAGTGACCGCCACCATCCACCCCCGATATTTCTGCATGTTGGCAGTGGACGTACACTTCATCAGAGTACTTTCTGGAGCACTTAAATACTACAGAGTAAAAATTTACTGCTTCAACATCACGCTACCAGGAATCAGAAACTACATCGACTGCAAACCAAAAGTTTTCATACATATTCAAAGCCACTGGAGTTCAAGTATATTCCATCCTGCCATGAGACAAGGTGATTAGGGATATACCATCAAGATCAACCACTAACATTCCAGATCTGGATGATCAGGGATCAGATGGCCTGTGAGTGCTGAGCATAAAATACCAGCAGCACCATACCATTAGTGGTACAAAGACAGTTTAGTTTTTACTCTGTTAGTGTAATGATTCAAAACATCCTCATTTTTAGTTTATAGTTTAATTCTCGTCTCCAAAATAGTGAATAGTTTTAATGTAGTAGAATTGTAGTACAAGGATCATACTGCAGACTTTTAAATTTTTACCAGAATAGTAACATGGTAGAGACACAGATACAGAAGTTGTACGTGATTAGGTCAAGAAGAAAAATCATTCATCTGTGATACGTCAAGAGCTGACACTGAGATATATACAGAATTGATGAGATTTAACAGGAATGAAATGTTTGATTTCATCAATTATCTATTGTTCTTTTACATAATTTAAAATTGAGGCAATTTAGTCTCACACTGCCAGATCAGAATAACATGCCAGCTTTTGCATTTTCAAACTCTGCCAAATAACTGCTTGAAATCACCTAGTATGAAACCTATCCAGCCTTTGAATTGGATGCAAGTTATTTCTGAACCCTTGTTTTAAATGTACCACTCTTGCCAGGTTTTGAAATATCCTGGAGCCTTAATTCAAAGTAGCTATAGGTCCTAGTATACAAAAAATGGCAATGAATGTGCCACAGGTATGCCTTTAGATAACTGTCAACCAATAGATTCCAATATTTTAAAGAAAATAAGAAATGCCAACTGCATTTCTTTTAACCTTGGAATGTTTTACTATGACTTATAGTGAAACAGCTGAAGAATGTCAGTTATTTCAGAATGACATTTAATCAAAATGACAAATCTGTTGGAGTTATTTTCTATACAGTTGGTTGAATGGGTAAGAATATAAGCAACGGGAGCAGAAGACCATATTGCCCATTGAGCCTCCCCGTCATTTCAGTTTGATCATGGATGATTTTCTGCCTCAACTTCATTTTGCTGCTCACTCAGTATAGCTCTTTGCATGATGGTATAAAAATCTATCACCTTAAATGCACTCAAATTAACATCTAAAATTCCAAAGTTTCACAACTGCCTTGAGTAAAGAAATATCTCTTAACCTCAGTTTATCCCTTCAACCTCTCAATGTTGATCCTTCAAAACTTTGTATGTTTTAATGAGATCATCTCTCATTTTTTTAAACTGGAAAGTATAGGTCCAACTTACTCCAACTTTCATCTTAGGCACTAACTCAGTAACAGCTAGCAAACTGCTGGATAAGCCATCTTGTTTATAACTAAGCTTATGCATAACACATAACACACCAACTGTTCATTGAAAATGTATCCACACAATCAAATTACTGCAAATACTATTGTTTAACCATAAGAGAAGGAAAGTAATGCAAATTTATTTATAGCCCTGTGCTCCAACTGGCTTGATGCTTTGATCATCCCTGCATTAAATGATCCAGTTTGCTAGGGACCAAATTTAGGAATATGTGTTCTAATATGCTATTGGTCAAATATTGAATAACTTTTTGTGATTGAGAGTTATGTCCTGTGACTTGAAGAAGACATAGTTTGTCAAACCAGTTTTATAATTACAAAGAATACATCTTCACAACAAAACTGAAGAATGACTTGACTTGTTACTCCTCCTTTGTTGTTTTTGGTGGAGGAATAAACATTTTCCAGGATAATGGAGCACTTCGTTATATGTTTTCGTGTAGATCTTTCATGCGTATTTGAACAACTGGATGGAGCCTTGGTTTGATGTCTCATTGAAGACATTACACACCTATCAAGAAAGCATTCCTCCAGTATTTCCAATAGAGTAACATAACTGAGCCACGCTGACAGAACATTTATACAGCCTCCTCCTCAGAATTATTGATGAGACCAAATTTGGCAATGTGGAGGTAGGCTCCTCATTTTTCGAGTACGCTGACCTTCGCTTCTTCTGTAGATCCTCTTGTGACTGAAGATTGATGCAGTATCGCAGGAACGTTCACAATAATGGCAATATCAGATTTTGTATAGGGTGTAGTTGGCTGTGACTAGCTTAGAACATCCGTCAAAACAGTTTGATGGGAATAACGCATCATGTATCAATCACAACCCAATAATTATTGTGGGGTTCTTCACTGAAGTACTGTTTAGACTGTCAGCTAATAAGAATTTACATTTTTGAGTTTGATTTGAGAAATGTGAACCATACATCAGTTGCAGGTGTATAGAGTCTGAAAAATGCTCCAGTTTGTGATATTATCTTACTCAATGTGTATCACAGCTGATGACTAAGATGAAACAAATGTCCATTTATCTATGGACTTGATGCGAACTCAAAAAATGTATTTTGAAAAGTGTATGCTTTATTTCTTATTCAAGTTTTATACTTTTATATGAATGAATGCTTTGTAATTTCTGTTTTTTAAAAGTGGTAATTGGATGATTTAATGTCTTGCTTAAAGTTCAATGCTGTTATGATGGACTTACTGTGTCAAAGTTTGTATTGTATAAAGTTGTTTTCAATCACCAGTTTCCCCCTTATCCAAAGTCTTTCATTCCTTGCAGATTGCCATTGCCAACCAATAACTCATTCAAGTAGTCAATACGTAAATGCAAGCCTCAACACTGAGTGTAAGTAGATTTCTCAGGAATGGTGGATGTCATGTCCAAGCCAGATACTATTCTTATATATTATCACATTCTCATCAGAGCTAATTGGATAACAATCAGAAGCACAAAATATGGTTAGTTTTGCTTTTCCAAACAGAGGGTTAGGGTTATGCTGATAGTAGCAGGTCAACTGCCAATTTTATCCGAAGAACATAAGAAATTGGAGCAGGAGTAGGCCATCTCTCCCTTGAGCCTGCTCTGCCATTCAGTAAGATCATGGCTGATCTTTTGTGGACCCTGCTCCACTTACCTACCCGCTCACCATAACTCTTAATTGTTTTACTGTTCAAAAATCAATCTTTGCCTTAAAAACAATGAACGAAGTAGCATCAGCTGCTTGGTTGTGAATCTGTGGAATTCCCTTCCCCTTTGGGTGAAGAAATTCCTCCACAATTCAGTCCAAAATCTGTTTCTCCCTTATTTTGAGGTTGTGCTCCTAGTTCTAGTTTCACCTGCCTGTGGAAACAACCTCCCTGTTTCTACCTTATCTTTTCCTTTCATAATTGGAAATGTTTTTATAAGATCACCCCCCCCCCTCAAACATTCTTCTAAATTCTGATGAGTATAGTCCCAGTCTACTCAACCCCTCCTCATAAGCCAACCTTTCCAACTTTGGAACCAACATAGTGAACCTCCTCTGCACCCCCTCCAATGCCAGTATGTACTTTTCTCAAGAAAGGGGACTAAAACAAACTAACTCAGCTTAGATTAGAGAAGTCATAGTGATTAAGGTGCTGATATTTGCTACATGAAATTGCTGAGGCATTATGGTCATCCTGTTAACATAGTAAAAGCAAAATAATGCAGATGCTGGAAAGCTAAAATACAACTAAAATGCTGGAGAAACTCAGCAGGACTGCAGCATCTATGGAGAGAGAAATAGTATTAACATTTCATGTCTAATATGACTTATTCAGAACAAGGTATTAAGAATCATATTACACTCAAAACGTTTACACTGTTTCTGTCTACACAGACGTTGCCAGACATGCTAAGTTTCTCCAAAAATTTCTGTTTTAATCCCATTACTTTAGCTTCAATATTACTTTCAAACTAAATGTTTAAAAATCCATTGATTTAAGTTGGTTATTTTCTTTGATTTGAAGAACTGACATGATCCATTTTAAAATCAAGCATGTTCAATTAATGCATTTCAAAACATCCATTTCTCCATTAAACTCCTGAACATTAAAATATAAATCATATGAAACCTCATCGGTTTAATGTTATTTTGTACAGAATATTGTTTCGCATAGGTTTTTTGATTGATGGAAATTTCTGAATTTATTTTCTTCATTTATATAAACAAGATGATATCTGAGAGTTTTCCAGAAGTGTTGCTTTTGATACCTGTGGTACTGGAATCAGGAAATTGAAACTGCAAGGATCATCTTCTGAAAATGAGTGAACTGGAGCGATTGTGAATTATTTTTCTACAAGAACATATACTGAATTGGAAATGGATAGAATTTGTAGGACATTGTAAAGAACTTGGTTTGTGAAATGAACTAAATAAAAAATTCACTGGTCATAACAGTAATTAAGATATTGCAGACATTCTTATTATGTTTTTTCTACTTGTGCATTGCACTTTTAATACTTTTTACTTTTGGGCTTTATTATTCTATTTGTTTTAAATAGAGCTGTTATGAATTAAAATTACTAAGTTATTGGTTTTCTACCAGTTTGAACAGAATTGCTTAAAACTGTGGACTGAATTTTCAATTTTTTTTGGACAGTGCTTTTTCGAGCAAGATTCATGGCACCTAGTCCACTGTGAAGCATGGCAATTTTTTTTTTCTCATGCAATCTTCTGATCTTCATTAATTATGCAACTGGATTCTTTGGCACCTGTCTCATGAAATCATGTGGCGGGCGGGGGATGGTGGTGAAGGCAAGTGCTTGCTAATGCAGGGACTTTGCAGTGTTCTTGCTGCTGGTGGCCATGGCACATTGGCTATGCGCATCCACACACAC